CACACACATCATCCTGCACTCACACACACATCATCCACACACTGCATTCATTATACACACTCTTCACTCACTACAAACACACTACATTCACTATACACTCACTACAAACACACTACATTCACTATACACCCTCTGCATTCACTATACACACTCTGCATTCGTTATACACATTCTGCACTCACTACACACTACATTCACTATACACACTCTGCATTCACTACAAACACACTACATACACTGCATTCATTGTACACACTCTGCACTCACTACAAACACACTAAATTCATTATACACAATTTGCACTTACTACAAACACACTACATTCATTATACACTATCTGCACTCACTACAAACACACTACATTCACTATACACACTCTGCATTCATTATACACACTCTGCACTCACTACAAAAACACTACATTCACTATACACACTGCACTCACTACAAACACACTACATTTATTATTCACACTGCACTCACTACTAATACACTACATTTATTATACACACTGCATTCACTACAAATACACTACATTCATTATACACACTCTGCACTCACTAAAAACACACTGCATTCATTATACACACTCTGCACTCACTACAAATACACTACAATTATTATTCACACTGCACTCACTACAAACACACTACATTTATTATTCATACTCTGCATTCACTACAAACACACTACATTCATTATACACACCCTGCACTGCACTATATGCATAGGAGTGTATTTTTTTTTTTTTTAAGTGGTGGGGGGGGGCGGGAATCTTGGGTGAGTTCCCACACTTTTTTCCCCAGGACTTGACCCCTGGGAATGTCCTTTTGCCAATAGCTCTGTTGCGGATACGTAGTACTCCTATCAGAAGAATGGGTCTGTCTCCCGTTGAAATCTTGTATGGGCATCCACCTGCCATACTCAGTAATCTAAGGGGGGACTTGAATCAGTTGGGTGAAGGAATTACTCGGCAGCAGGTTGTAGAGTTGGGTAAACCTATGGAGGAAGTACAGAAATGGGTGCAAGATAGGTTACCTGTGAACATATATCCACCTGTTCATTCCTATCAACCGGGAAATCAGGTGTGGATAAAAGAATGGAATATTGTTCCATTAGGTCCAAAGTGGAGGGGTCCTTATGTTGTTCTTTTATCTACTCCAACAGCTGTAAAGGTGGCAGAAGTGACTCCGTGAATTCATCATTTTAGGGTTAAACCAGCGGCAGATTCTTGGCAAGCTATACCAGATTCTGAAAATCCTTGCAAGATCCGGTTAAAGCAGGTAACTCGTTTGGAGTGAGAAATAATACGAAGAGATATTGGGACATCTTAGTTGAGAGTAGCAACAGATATCATCAAGTAGGTGTTTTGACAACCATAATGAAGCCTGACCACCTACCTACGTGTCATAGTTAGAGTGTCTCGAAGGGACCTCTGTGAAGAAAAGTGAGGATCAGAAGAACGACAATCCTTGCAGCCCTCACAATTGGGGAGCTGAGGTGCCGTTGCACGGTCGAAGAGTAGAAATGAGGACTTCTGAAATATTATGTGTTTAGGCATTTTTGTGATTTTTCAGGAAGGTAAAGGTGAGGACATACAGAGTTGTGTTATCTGCATTAAGACTACGAAAACAGGTAACCAAATATCCTAAACTCTCATTTGGCACTCACAGTACGAGTGTAGGGGATCTGTATCTAAGTGTAGATATTTAGATATAGATTACAGTGTGTGCAAACCAATATCAGGAGAGCCTAAATGTTTTGATCCCCAATTCCAACCCCGTACAATTTGATTGGTAATTCGGAACAGTAACTCCCAGGGGACCTTGATAAATAGGACTGTGATAAATACCATACATTCTACGGGCATTCTACTATTTGATGCATGTAAGGCGATCTCTGGTAGTGGAAAACCTTGGAATGTATGTGGTAATCTTAAATGGGAACAAACGTATGGGTTTAATGATAAATATTTATGTCCCAGTAAAAGATCTACTGATCCTGATTGCCCAAATAGGGATTTTAATTTTTGTCCATATTGGTCTTGTGTAGGGTGGGCGACCTGGGGAAGAACAGTGGATCAAGATATGATTATCCAAAGGTTGCCCACTACATCACACTGTAAGTCTATGGAATGTAATCCTGTCCATATGACCATCTCTAATCCACAACATTTTATTGATAAGTTTGGAAATCTATTTGGATTCCAAATACATGGCACAGGAGTAGATCCAGGGACCATAATATATGTAGGACTTGAAACTGAGACGATAGCAACTCAAACTCATCAGGTTTTTCATTCCTTCTGTGAGGAGATGAGTGTTGAGGATAAAATTCCCCATAATGTTAAGAACCTATTTATTGATTTGGCTGAGAGTATTGCAGGTAGTCTTACTGTAACTAATTGCTTTGTATGTGGAGGTACTAATATGGGAGACCAGTGGCCATGGGAGGCAAAGGAAGTATGGTACCCTGGTTCTGAGACAGATGAACAACAAATACTTTCTCAGTCTGATCATCAAGTAAGTACTAGAGGTAAATCAGAGTGGTGGTTAAAAACCTACATAATAGGTCATGTATGTTTAGCCAGGAAAGGGCCATTGTATACCACACCTGTTGGCGAGTTAATATGTCTAGGACAGAAAGCCTATAATGCCGATACTAAAGATACTACTTGGTGGTCAGCTTCAAATGTCTCAGAGCCTACTAATCCGTTTGCCAATTACACCCATTTAAAAGAGGTATGGTTTGACTTATCTGCTACATCCAATTGGAAAGCCCCAGCGAATTTATATTGGATCTGTGGTAAGAAAGCATATTTAGAGTTACCACAAGATTGGGAAGGGGCATGTGTAACATAGAAACATAGAAACATAGAATGTGACGGCAGATAAGAACCATTCGGCCCATCTAGTCTGCCCAATTTTCTAAATACTTTCATTAGTCCCTAGCCTTATCTTATAGTTAGATTAGATATGCTCAAACCATCCTTCTTCCTGTTGCCAATTGAGACAGGAGAGACCTTGGGAGTTAAGGTTTATGATGTAAATCATTAAAAGAAGCGAGCATCCTTGAAAATAGGTAGCTGGGAAGATGATGAGTGGCCTCCCCAATGCATTATTAATTATTATGGACCTGCTGCTTGGGCAGAAGATGGTACCTATGGATATAGAACCCCAATATATATGCTCAACCGTATTATAAGACTACAGGCGGTGATTGAGACTATCACTAATGAGACAGATCAAGCACTTAATCTTCTAGCTAAGCAAAATTCTCGGATGAGATCAGCAATCTATCAAAATAGATTAGCTCTGGACTACCTATTAGCAGTAGAGGGAGGTATATGCGGAAAGTTTAATCTCAGCAACTGTTGTTTGCACATAGATGATGAAGGGCGGGCAGTGGCTGAACTTACAAGCCACATGGTTAAACTGGCGCATGTACCTACTCAGGTCTGGAATGGGTATAATCCTAGTAGTTGGTTTGGAAGTCGGTATGAGCAGCTTGGAGGGATTAAGGCATTAGTAGGAGGAGTAGTATGTATTATATTCTTATGTCTCTTTCTGCCCTGCCTAATTCATAGAGAGCACTATAGAAAAAAAGACAGCTGCTCATGTAATGGCTGTCTATAGATATGAATCCCTAGCCCAAAGAGAACATATTCAGGATGAGGCATGCTGAAGGAGTTTGTGATGATGCTAAGATGCTTACAAGGTCTGTTCTGGTCCAATGGCTACTTGAGAGGTGTTGGTAAACTATAATTGGTGATGCATCTGGAATAATTTTGTATCAGAGGCATCAAAGGGGGGAATGTGATGGAATTTCGGTGAAATGTAAATTTAGTAGGCCGAGATTTCCACGTGGCATATGTGTATGTAGTATCAGTTAGTTAGTTACACGTAGCTAAGATACTGTCATCAATGTACTGAGCATGTGCAGGAATGCAGGAACTGAAATCACATTCCTTTCTCCTTTGTTTCGGATGAGCCATGTGGTCTGCCCATATGAGGAAATCCAAATCCTGTCCATTGATTGGTTGAGGGTATGTGCAGGTGGAGCTATTAATGGGAGGAGTTATAGTTCTATAAAAAGCATGTACTCCATGTGTTCGGCCCTCAGACCTGTTTTGGAACGTTAGTTCATCTGAGACCCGATCGGTATGTTAATAAAGACCTCTTACTTCCTGAAAACCTGCATCCATCTCTCTGTGTCTGGCTTCTGCAAGTTTACTCGGTTCCATCACTTGCTTACAAATCTCTACACAATGCTGCTCCGACCTACTTATCCTCACTATTACACAAATATGTCCCATCTAGGCCCCTACGCTCTGCCGAAGACCTACGCATAAGCTCTGTTTGTACTCCAACCTCTGACTCTCACCTAGACTTCTCTAGGGCTGCACTGTTCCTATGGAACGCTCTTCTCCTCTCTGTTAGACTTTAACCCAATCAACACTCCTTCAAAAAATCTTCGAAAACTTACTTCTTTAGCAAAGCAGATCAATTAAACTGTGGACAGCTATCCCTCCCCTAACCCTGATTCCTCTCCTACAACTGTCATCAAAACAAAACACTAAGCCCTCACTGAGCACTATCCTAGCAACCTACTTCTCTATCCTACCCTAACCTTTTGTGTCACTATACCCCACTCCCTCTAGCATGTAAGCTCATTGAACAGGGCCCTCAATCTCTGCGGAACTTGTTGGCGCTTTATAAATTATAATAATAATAATGTTGACAATTATCCCATAATCCAGTCCACACACAGGCTAGAAGGAGACACTTTTGTCTGCAATGTCACTATTTAATGCAGTAACAGTTATAGAATGACGTGTTTAGTAGAATAATCCTGGAAATGAGAGACTTTTATTTAATGTATTTAGTTTTATATTTTCCATCTAGCTCTCCTGTACACGTGTGTCAGCTCAATCTAAATAAAGTTTATTGGAAGATTTAAAAAAAAAAAAAAAAGGCCGCGGGAAGCCAGTCATGTGATTGCTGCTCGATCGCTCGGCGTTCGATGTGTTTTCCTTTTCCTGGGCAGGATTCCTCCAGCAGCTAGACGGGAGCAGCGGATCGCCGATTGATCAGCATTATTCAGCAGCAGTGCACACCGGCAGTGAGTTCCTGTCACCATGGTAAGGCCGGACACCGCTCCTGGGGCCCACACCGGTCCTGATACCCTGCCTTTATATCCGGCCCCTGGTACCCGGCTGGTTTATAGTACTGGCCCTGCCCTGAGCGAACACCGAGCGGCCAGGCCTAGTGTAACGGCACAGCCTGCCTGTAGTAACTGGGGGAGCCATGATCAGTCTCACCCGGCCCTGCATTATTATTATTATTATAGTAACTGGGGCAGCCATGATCAGTCTCACCCGGCCCTGCATTATTATTATTATTATAGTAACTGGGGGAGCCATGATCAGTCTCACCCGGCCCTGCATTATTATTATTATTATTATAGTAACTGGGGGAGCCATGATCAGTCTCACCCGGCCCTGCATTATTATTATTATTATTATTGTAACTGGGAGTCATTACCAGCCACCCCCCTGGGAGATTGGGGGGGTCATTATTATCAACCCCCCCTGGGAGACTAGGGGTCATTACTAGCCACCCCCCCCCGGGAGACTGGTGGTCATTACTAGCCACCCCCCTGCTTGGAGACCCAGGCTAGGTAACCATAACTCACCACATTTGTTCTCGCGGCTCCATTGTCTCTGGCTGTCCAGTGTTTCTGACAGGGGTCTGTATTCTTTCAGAAATTAGCTGCTGCAGAACCTCTTGGTTTATAGAGACCCTTTGTTGGGCTTTTATTTTGCTTTTCAAGCAAGAAGTGCTTGCTGTCTATTCCATAGAGGTTCTGCAGCAGCTGTGCTCAGTGTTTAGTGCAGGGATAGGCAACCTTCGGCACTCCAGATGTTGTGGACTACATCCCCCATAATCCTGGCAAAGCATCATGGGAGGTGTAGTCCAAAACACCTGGAATGCCGAAGGTTGCCTATGCCTGAGTGGCTGGAAGGTGAGTGACTTAAAGGACCACTCTAGGCACCCAGACCACTTCAGCTTAATGAAGTGGTCTGGGTGCCAGGTCCAGCTAGGGTTAACCCATTTTTTCATAAACATAGCAGTTTCAGAGAAACTGCTATGTTTATGAATGGGTTAAGCCTTCCCCTGTTTCCTCTAGCGGCTGTCTCATTGACAGCCGCTAGAGGCGCTTGTTTGCTTCTCACTGTGATTTTCACTGTGAAAGCACGCCAGCGTCCATAGGAAAGCATTATGAATGCTTTCCTATGTGACCGGCTGAATGCGCGCGCAGCTCTCTTGGAGGAGGAGAGGAGGCAGAGAGCTCCCCGCCCAGCGCTGAAAAAAGGTAAGTTTTTACCCCTTTCCCCCTTCCAGAGCCGGGCGGGAGGGGGTCCCTGAGGGTGGGGGCACCCTCAGGGCACTATAGTGCCAGGAAAATGAGTGTTTTCCTGGCACTATAGTGGTCCTTTAACCCTTGGATTGACAGCGATTGTTAGCCTGGTACAGACTTCATAGCAAAGTTCACAGCAGTCGGAGTCCCAAGTGTTAGCTGTGTACAAGTTAATTTCATATATTAGAATAATTAATAAAAATGTTGTCTAATTACATTATCCTTTAACCAGTTTGCAAAGTTGATATGAAGTATGTAATAATCATGGTGGGTTAAAACTAGGCTGTCTTTCTTATTGCTATTTAGGGTGAGAATGGTTTGTGGCATTATATGCTAGAATAACTTAAATATACACGTGTTACTTTCCTGTGAACATAATTTCGTTAACCATTGTCATTAGTGTTCATTAGAAACAATAAGTTTTTTTTTTTTTTTGTTTTTTAAATTGTTTTACGAATAATATTTTAAAATGTAATGAACATAGTAGATACTGTTACATTTCCTGCCTGTGCTGTGCTAGGCCCAGCCATGTCATCATGAGTTGGTAACAGAAAGTGAAAGTAAACAACATTCTTCTAGTATTAGTATGTTTATTCTTTTTAGTCCTGCTTTATTATTAGCTTTTATATACCACCAACATTTTCCCTAATGCTTTACGTTGGTGGTGTTATATAACAAAAAATAACTGACAGATGAAATAATGTTGGCAGACACAAGAGGTTTAGAGAGCCCTGTTCATTCAAGCTTACTGTGGCTTTTACATTCTATAAATGTATCAATCATCCATTTATTACTCTTCCACTTTGCTGTTCTATATGAGACCCTAAGAATCTACACATTTTGTACCTTTACATGTAATGTATTACTGACGGGTGCAGTAGAACTGTAAGCTGAATATTTCAAGTGAGTAATTTGGCATATACTGGGCATTGTTAGAATATTATTATTTATAAAGCGCCAACAAACTCCGCGGCGCTGTACAGTGGGATATGAGACTAGAATAAAGGTACCGGAGTAACAACAGGCGAAACACCGATGCTGTTGTGCTTAAATGGGATCAGGGAGGCTATCTGTGTTTTTGTGGCTCATTCCAGGTACTGGACATTAGAAGGGCAGTTTGCAGCACGTTTATGTTGCTGTGAATCTCTAGAAATAATCTGCGATTTTGATGGCTTCATTAATTATGAATCAAACACAGAATGAATCACTTTGTTTGTTACTCCTGTTAGGAAAACTTTGATCTACACACCGGCTGGACGTTCTGTTCTATACTGGGCATAACTGTGCCTGAGTGAATTCTGATGCTGTCTAGATATGATAAAATAATTGCGCTGTCACTATATATAGTATATGACAATAGTCATAGGGCCATTGCAGTAAACCTCTTTAATTAGCAGAAATTACAAATTGCTTGTGTACAAAGTATAACCCGCCCTGTTCCACAGGGGAGCAGTGCAAATAGAAAACGTTTGTTTACATTGATGTATTTTTCACTCTTCTTCTGTTTCTCTAGTTTCGCAACCAGTATGATAATGATGTCACCGTATGGAGCCCTCAGGTACGTGTAGTTCACTGCTTGTCATTTATACTTCTGCCAAATGACTGGGACAGATTATTAACATTAGACTCTGATTATGTAAATATAAGAAGTAAAAATGAAAAATTCTCATCGATACATTGTATTTAAAAAAAATGTTTTTTTTTTTTTTTGTTTTTTTTTCTTCCCAAAGGTAAGTACAGTTATAATGGCTAAAAAACAAGGCATATACATGTTCATTACAGTACAGTGGGTGTCATACATTGTGTAGTTCATTCATAACATTTCGAAGTGACATCCATGTATTTAGAAAATTACTTTACATAAATCAAAGGAGTAAAAGGGGCAAACATAAGGTCGATGTAGGGCACAAGCCTTGTCACGTGGTTCTTAATGAGCCCTTGCTATAAGCTTTACGTTGCTTGGGTCTGAATTTTGCTGGTGATCTTGGGGGGTGGGGGGGGTTTCATGACACTGATATGGTGTATGTATTGTCTGGGATGTTGGTTCTTCTGAGTCGACTACCCTTAAGGAGGTGTCAGTATCCTCTACAGCAATTGGAACACCTGATGCTGCTTGCTCCAACCAACAGTCCCAGGTGGTGTCATCAACCAGCGTCTTTTAGAACGGCAAAGACTCCCATTGGCTCATCGATCCATTTTTAAATGATATTTTCTGCACCACTTCTTGTTTCCTACAGTATGGATGTCTGGCTCCTAATTCACTGAGTTCAATTTGGCTGAGCCTGCATGCTTTTTCTGTCTGGCTCACTCATAAAAAAATAAAAAGAAAATCCCACGTTCCTCTTCATCTACATGTTTGCAATGATTTGGTTACACCATCTTTAAATGGAAACATTATATTTAAAGGGGATGCTCTCATATTCTAGAAACATTAAGTGTTTGTATGTGGCAGGCTAAAGAGCAGACTGCATCTCCCATTAGTCTTAGGCGGCCACTTGCTTTTACTTTCATTTTATTTTTTTTTAACTAGTAACGGTTTATTGGAATTGTAGCAGGCAGTGGTATGTGATTAGTCCTGATGTTCAAATATAGTTAAAGGAACACAAATGTGTATTACTGACACCATAGGTGTAAAACACCAGTTAGGTTTCTGTCTGTCCGTCCGTCCCCCCTCCCTTTCCTCCCTGTGAAAAATACATTTTACTTCCTTTTTTTTCAGTGCTGAGCATGTCTCTTTGTGGCTGGCGCCACCCATGCATTGGGAGGCTATTGCGCATGTGCTGCAAAACGCTGCGCTGTGCCAATACGCATCTCTTCATAGAGATGCATTGAATCAATACATCTCTGAGGAATGCCCGGTTTACTGATTCACTCCTAGTTAAAGGGACACTATATATTCACAAGAACAACTATAGATTAATGTAGTTGTTCTGGTGTCTATTGCCTGTCCCTGCAGGTGTTTTTAACTATGTTTACATCGCTGCCTAGTAGCATATATTTCTCGAATTTCCTTCGGTTTGGATTATAGCTTTGTAAGATGTGATAGTCATGATTGCAAAGGTCAGAGAATTTTGCAGCTGTTTTAATATTTCTCCTTCATCTTTCCACCAGGGTCGAATTCACCAGATTGAATATGCCATGGAAGCTGTAAAGCAGGGTTCTGCTACAGTGGGTCTAAAGTCTAAAACCCACGCTGTGCTTGTAGCGTTAAAGGTAAGTGTAATTGCTTCCCAGAATATTCTTCAGGAGTGAATGAAAGCTTAGTGAATGATTCAATACCGATGGCGTTATTGGCAGTTAAAATATAGCTGGTTTGGGTGGAAGAGTGTAGCCTGGTTATAACAATAGTTGGTGATTCTGTGATTCCGTTTGCTCTCCGTCCCTTTGGTTTGTTTTATGATTTAATGCGCAGAAAGAGTAAAAGAGGATTTTAGCCAGAACTCCGTGCTGTACATGTAATCTAGTTCCAGCTTGTACTTTATTTTGCAGAGAGCCCAGTCTGAGTTGGCTGCACATCAGAAGAAGATTCTAAATGTAGACAATCATGTTGGCATTTCCATTGCTGGACTTACAGCAGATGCTCGACTGCTATGGTGAGAACATTTCTCTTCTTGTATGTTTAATTTCCACCCTGCTCTTTTATTATCTATTTGTGAAGGGTTGATTAGGATTCCCTGTTACCCTTTCAGCCTCTGATCTACGTTTTGTTTTGCAGTAACTTCATGCGCCAGGAGTGCCTAGATTCCAGATTTGTGTTTGATCGTCCACTTCCTGTGTCTCGTCTCGTGTCTTTGGTTGGAAGCAGTATCCTTATCATTGCTAATTCTGAAGCTTAAGGCATCATCTACCAAGCTGTGCCATTTTGTCATATGATCTGAGGATATAAAAACACAGTCCGTACTTTACGTCTGTGGACTGTATTAGTGCATACAACATTTACTTCTCGTGTTTTTGGTAAGAGTATATATTTACTCTAATGTTTAGCGACTGATATATTGATAATCAGTTTTACTATCTCTCTCCACTCCTGCTCCCACAAATTATTAGTGTTCTGGCCTAATTAGATTCCAAATAAATACCAACGTGAACTTAGAAGGTCCTTACACTGTCCAAATACAAAATAAAAATCATTGCATGGTAAATATCCCACCAGTGAAAACATGTATTGAATTTTATATATTTTCATTAACGTTTATCTTAAAAACTGCTTGCAATAGCTGCAGATATCTTGTCTGCAGCCTTTGCAAGCTCTCCCATTTTAATCCCGCCCAGACTTTCTGTGGCTGGCCAATCACAGCTATCCCGATGCAGCTTAATGAGCAGTCTTTGCAAGCCAGGTGCTCTGGGCAATTGCAGTCTCTTGCGTTTAGCTCCACTGAGCTAAACAAACCAGTAAGTAACAGGACCTGTTATCTGCTTGGAAGCCAAAGGGGTGTAACCAAGTTAATTTATAACAATTTCCGTCTTTAATTATGACAATTTCTTTAGAAATCTTTACTTTTTATAAAACTAGAAGAGGACACACTCCTCACACATAAGAAATTTCACTGGATTAAAGTGCTTTAGGTGTTTGGAGTGTCACTTTAATGCACGGGCAAGCTCTCCTTAACTGCACATCAGAGCTTGCAATGGACAGATTTAATGGCAGTGCAAGCTCTCATTCCTATATAAAGAGAAATTCCCTGTCAAACGTCTTTGTTTTTTCCCTTTCTGTTTCCTTTTTTGTATTTTTTTTTTTTTTTATCATCCTTAGTCCTCTAAGAATGCAATGAAGGCTTCACTATTAATTCACCATAAATTAAAATACATTCATGAGGCGTGCTCCATCTCTGGCATGTAGCTAAAATCCTAACCTATACATGTTCCATAGACTAAATATCCTTCCTGTCATGTGCACCCCTGCCACTCAACAGGCAACAATTGCCCAGAACGCTGCTTTGCAAAGACTTCTCCTTGAGGTGCATTGGGAGGTCTGTGATTGGAAGCAAGCCAAGTTATCTCCAAACACAAATTAAATTGATTATTATTTAGTTTTTTTTAGGAGTTGCTCAGTTTTCTTTGACATTCATACTAGACATAAACCAGTTCAGACAATGCACAACCATGGCTCAAATTGCAAAAGAAGAGGAGAAACCTGTAACATTGTTTTATTTCTCCTCTCTGGTCTCTCTGTGCCGATTGCCAGGTGTAATGGGCAGAGTTTATAACAATGATTGACAGGCAACTAAGATGGAGGCGCCCAGATGCAGGATAAAGATCTGTGGATTTATACATTTTAAAGGGAAACTATAGTGCCAAGAAAACAAACTCATTTTCCTGGCACTATGGCTACCCCCTTTGTCAAGGCTCCAATAAAGGAGGAGTTAACCCTAGCAGGTAATTATTGCAGTTTCTTAAACTGCAACAATTATCTGCTTAGGGTTAAGGAACCTGGGACAGTGTACCCAGAAGACCACTTCAATGAGCTGAAGTAGTCTGGGTGCCTATAGTGTTCCTTTAATTTTATTTTTCACACCTCACAAACATATACTTGTTAAATACAGGAATAAATAAACATAACATAAAAAATATTAAAGGGACACTATGGTCACCATAATTCCTACAGCTTAATGCAGTGGTGCTGGTGTCTATAGCCGGTCCCTGCAGATTGAGAATTGTAAACTCAAACTTTAAAGAAAAGCGACTGTTTTACATTGATGCTTAATAACATTTGTGGCTAGACCAGCACAGTGAGGAAGAAAAGGTAAGTTTAAAATCTTATTTCTCTCAACTCTGAGAGGTGCCGGGGACCCTAAAAACATGTTTGTATTCCTAACAGTATAGTGTTCCTTTAACCTTGCCACAAATCAAACCTGTGGCTTTTTGCAACTTTCTTACTTATCCACTGCACTTTCTCCCCAGCGAGGTCCGTTTTATTCAAATATGCTGATTAAAGATGTGTATTGTACTCCCTTCAATTGCTAAATTGGAGGAGCTTATGACAATGGTTCACAGCACCTCTACATATTTCCTCAAAATCTGGGCTCCTTGCTTGGAGCAAAGATGAGTCGCCTAACCCTCACCAGCGATTTTTATTTTTCTAGTTTGTTATTTAGCCCACAAACTTTGCATGTGTGAAATGCATACATATGTATCTTTTTCTGCTAAAAATTAATTAAAAAAATAAAAATCTTTCTCATTAAATAAAGACAGATGTGGATGATCGGACTTGAATCGATTATTTTTTTTATGCATGTTTTCCTTAATGGTTTTAAGAAACACAAATCCCAACTCAGCGTTATGGGCGAAGACCGTATGGAGTTGGACTTCTAATCGCCGGTTTTGATGTGAGTGTGTTTAGACCATATAATGTAAATTCCATCTCTTTGGTCCACACAGGTCCTTCATTCACCTCTCTTAATCCCTCTTCTTTCTGTAGGATATGGGTCCTCACATCTTCCAGACCTGTCCCTCCGCTAATTATTTTGATTGTAAAGCAATGTCGATCGGGGCCAGGTCGCAGTCAGCTCGCACGTATCTGGAGAGACACATGTCGGAGTTTACGGACTGTGAGTGAATTAATTTATAACACTGTCACTTTGTGTTAGATTATCTTTATTTACTGCCAAGTTCATGGAGTTTATTGTGTCGAAACGTCTACTGAGAAAATGTGATCAAAATTAAATTATATCAATCCATTTTATAAAAAATTTTTTTTTTTTTAAATCATGTGTAATGATTTGACAAATGTTCCCAACCAAAGAGTTTCTACCTGATTTAGACAAAATCATGGTAGACCATGCATGCCTTGTAGGATTGGTTTAATTTGCATTGCATTAAGGGAAGAAAAGGAACCACAATCATCTCCTACTGTTTCCCCCTTGTTCTCACCCTGAGCAGTTGGATTGTACATAATGTTGCTCCTCACAAATCCCATGGATCCTGTGAGCAGACTTTCTGACGGTTATTGCTCTGTTTCTACAGGTAATCTGAATGAACTGGTGAAACATGGTCTACGTGCATTAAGGGAAACCCTCCCCGCTGAGCAGGACCTGACCACCAAGGTAATGTCTGGCTGCAGCAGGAGAGCTCTGCAGCTATTGACCTGTCTGCTGGACTCGCTCAAATGACCTTTGTGTGTTCAGAAATTATGTTTATGAAATTGTGAGTTTTAAAATTTTGTTTTAAAGAATGCCTCGCTTACTGCTTTATTAAAGGGGCACTCTAGACATTATAACAGTTACAACTCAAACTCTAAACCATTTTCAAACGGTTTGGCAAAAACTTGAGCTCTCCCTACGCTCACATCCCTGTCCTTTTGCTGCGGATAATGTAACGTGAAAGTGATCTTCTGCATGGTCTCAGATGATAAGATTGGCTGGGGGCAGCATATCATTGACGCACACAGATGAATAATGCATAGGTTCACATTAGTTAAGCCCCAGCAGAGGGGCTGGATGAGGTATCAGCAGAGTCCTGATATTTGTAAAACTTCACAGAAAAACAAGATTTGATCTGCAGACCCTGTGCCTTGTAATCTCAGTTCTGAGCTGTAGTTCCTTCCTGTTCAGTATTATATATTGGACCAGAGTTGGACGTTCCAGATAACCACAATCTGTTAACAATTTTTATTTGTGCTTACAAATAAATATATTATGCTAGCAGAATTCATGTATTGCTTGTAAACGTGTTCTGTTGCTTGCTGGCGTTTAACACTTCGTGAATTGAAAAAAGTAGTTTTAGTTTCATTGAAATCTATCCTGACTCATGATGAGTTTTCATTTTATACTGCTCTCACCAGACATTTAAATGGTCGTTCTAAGTAACACAGCCACTACATCTTTTCGTACAGTGTAAAACCTCTTCAGCATGCTAACAATGCTCAGCATTGGATTGGTGGATCATGGCAATTACTGTTTATTCACTGTATTCCCACAGTGCTTTACTATGAGAAACCTTGGATTGCACAGAGTTCATCAATGTTGATCATCTTGCAGTAGCAGGATTGGGCTGCAGTGACAAGATTTTTATAAAACACAGGGAGCCATAAATCTAAAGCTGCTAAAGAACACATTTGATTTAAAATAATAATTTTTTTTAAGTTAGTGTAATCTTGATATATTCTAAAATTCTTCAGCTAAACTTTATTTTTTTTTATTTTTTAAAACATTGCTTAACTTTGATGGAACTCATGGAGCTGCCCCGTGTTTTAAATCTATTTCCATCATCGGATTGTTTTTCTTTTTATTTAGTGTTTCCTTTTCATCCTGTTGAGATGTGTAATTGCAAGTAAGTAGCAAGTGCATCTTGAGTGCATCTCAAAACCCACTCATTTATTTGCAGAAGGAAGCTAGTGAACAATTTCAGTCCTTTCCAAGCAAAAGTGTGTTTTGGCAGTCTGCCTTAAATTTGTTCAAACACAGGAAGTTCCAGCAAAATGGATATTAGCTAAGATTTTGGAGGAGACTGCGATAAACAGGTGCAGAGGAAATGGTTTATAAATGTTGTTGTTTAACGCCCACCCTCCTCTCCTCCTTGTTCTGCAGAATGTTTCCATTGGTATTGTTGGAAAAGAATTGGAGTTCATGATCTATGATGATGATGAAGTTGCGCCTTTCCTAGAAGGTTTGGAGGAACGACCACAAAGAAAGGTATACGCTAGGATAGTGTCCTGTGAGGCTGTTTATTGAAGTGAACGTTATAAGGGTCTGTTACCATTTGCCACTTGAACTGTAGCACAACCAATACAATCTGTACATCGTGCTGACAGTTGTGTGGACAGGAAAAAGACTGGGAGGAAGGGAAAGCGGGTCCTATTTATTTATTCTCTATTACCTGTCCAATTTGTGTTAAGGGTGGGGTTATATCCATAGTGATGCTGCCATGGATATGGGTGGTAAAACAATCAGGAGAAAAGTCTAATTAAATTGGACTTTTGGCTCTGATGTATAATGTTACCAGATGGAAATTAGTTTTTTTTTTTTTTTTTGTTCACCATTGCAATGTTCTTCTTTCTGTTCTCTTCCAGTCTGCTCCCCCAGCGGAGGATCCTGTGGACAAGCCAGAAGAGCCAATGGAGCACTAATGGTGCAACCTGACTGCACGGGGGGTGATATCTGCAGCCCGCACCTCCAGTCTCCAAAGAAAATCATATGTAAATCTGATCTTAAGTACACATTCTGTAATCATTCAGAAAAACATCCATTGCCCAAATGGTGCGGAAAAGTGTCTGTTTTGTATGATGCCATATGCCTTTGTGGTTTGAAGGCAACTTTAATAAACATTTTTTTTTTTTTCGTTGAAAGTGTTTTTTCTTTTTCTATTGCCAAGCCACTTTAAATGGTTACAGTTCATGTAAAACAAAATGAGCATTAGCCTGAAAATCACAGAAAGCTAGTCTTTATCAGTCAAGGGACAGGCAAATACCTGCTGCTGCGTTCCCGTAATAATATTCCTGTTTAATGTATGTGGGTAATTCCCTCTTAAAGAAAGAAGAGGTTTGGCCACGCTCTCATTCCTTTGTCCAAAAGGTCTTTCTAACATGTTTTGTGATGACCTCAAATGATTGCTTCTACCACTTGTACCCGGAGGTTATTCCAGGCATCCATTTATATACTTATTTTCCCTATGATCTGTATAATTTCTGCTAATGCCTCATATTGAACGTATGTATTATTTATATATCGTTAACAAATTTTGCAAGTCTGTACAAAAAGTCCCCAACCCCCACACCCCCCTGCCGGCTCATGCTCTGGTTGGACACAAATCTGCTTCCGAATATAGATACTGGATTAGATTATAGGGGTTTAACATCTATTAAGCAAGAAAGTTTGCATACTTTGTTAAATTAACTTTTTTTATGTATTGTGTTGGTATACCAATCTGAGAGTTTGGTGAGCGGTACCCAGTGAGCATATGCCTAGTATGTACGGGCATGCATTATGCGAGAGGCAGTTGGTTTATAGTAATTAGACAGGGGATTTCCCTACTTCTTTGTCCCTTGTGTTTACCACCTAAAAGACAGGTGAGTTAGTCAGACCCTAAGATATCATGGCAGAGTCCTCACATCATCTATCAAAGAGTTAACTAGTAGGGCTGCACCATTCCTGTGGAACTCTCTTCCCTCCTCCGTTAGATGCTCAGCCAGTCTCCACTCCTTCAAAAAAAATCGTTAAAAAACCCACTTCATAAAAGTGTATCACTTAAACGGTTAATAAATTCCGCCTGATTCCTCTCTTGCAACTGTCACTAGTCTAATACTATCCTTACCTTTTATGTCACTTTACCCCACTCTCTCTAGAATGTAAGCTCATTGAGCAGGGCCCTCAACCCCTCTGTTCCTGTGTATCCAACTTGTCTGGTTACAACTACATGTCTGTTCGTCCACTCACTGTAAAGCGCTATGGAATTTGTTGGCGCTATATAAATAACATAAAAATAATAGGCTTTTACTATTGGTGCAGATTGCCAAGTCCTAATAAATATTGTCTATTATATTGCCAGCTGGCCTTATGCTCTCTTGTACATGTGAAAGGAAGTGGCTTAGTTTAGGAATTTTGGCAGAGTCTTCAATCTCATTGTAATCACTTTGACAACTGGAAACAATACAGTCAAGTAGCAGCATTGAAAGTCCCAGTGAAGCCTTTATAAATCATTCTAGAATCCTTTATTACATTGCCCTTCAACCTTTCCAGAATATCACTTGTATGTTTAAAATAAAAAAAATTAAAAATCCAACACAATTCAGGCTTAAAACAAGACCTGGCAATTGAATAAGTGAGCATTAATCTTTTGAATACCCCTAGGGGAAATGTATTACTTTGTCTCTGGCTCTTAAAGGGTTAATTCATGCTAAATAGCACAAAATATGCCGTATGTAGTCTTCAATGGTGCGCAGTTGTTGTTGTGGTCTGTCCTGCTTGACACATTGCAAAATGTTACAGAATATGCAGGGTTTTATTAATTATTAGAAATCACAAGTAAAAATACGCAGATTTTTTAAAATTATTTTTTCATGCAGTATAACCAATTAATTCTAGCATCCAGGATTCATGTTGCGGATGATCACTAGTTTTTACTAATTGTAGATCTTTCTCACTGGTAAATATTGGGATGGGGAGACAGTAGGTATAAATATCAAATATCCAGTCTATTCCAATAGTATAGCAGAGTGTCAGGTTAATAAGATTAATCCAAATGCAACGGTACTCCTTAAATTAGAAGTTGTGGGGAATGGGTAAATAATACTAATTTTTGAACCAAAATAGCCAAATCTGGAATAAGTTTTCTCTTCCAAGTTCTTGGTTTAGTGATAAACCCCAGTGTGTTCCAGTGCATGTATATCTAGCACAACAACCTGAGTAGTCGGAGAATGAAAAATATGTGACTGTGACAGTTTATCTTCACCACCAGGTGGCAGCAACACTAAAACCTACAAGAGCTTCAGGAAAGAATATAGACATGTTTGTAATTTCTTATAATGTATATAGAGAGTTTTGGATTATTCTATCTATTAATACAGTATCCTATTTATCCAGTATCTATCGTATATTAATACTCGAATCATCTATATCAGTGCTTTCCAAACTTTCCATGTTGGTGACACTTTTTGGACATGCATCCTTTTGCGATAAACTGGAGGTTAAACTACTACTAATTTCTTATAGGAAATCGACACATAAATAAATCGTAATAACATAGTAAAAGATTATGGTCACGTTGAGCTATCGCTGTGTGTGATATACGATATGAAACACACAAACCCACTCTTACTTACAGACATGCAAACCCTGCTATGTAGCTGTGTGGAAGCAGGGACTTCTTCCTGCTTCCTCTTAATGTACAGCAGTAACCAGTTAGCGGGCAGAGACTGTATTAGTTCCCAGGCCTGCATGTGCGAGGTTGGTCAGCCGTCGGCACCTTGTGCAGCAGCACAACTCGCACACCATTAAGGCGAGCCATGATACTGATTTGCATCTGCATAAAACTGTTTCGCTCGCCCGATACACACGCACACAAATCCCGGGCACCAGGTCGCCAAAGCGACTAGGAATTTTGTCCTGGTGCCTGGGTGTTTGTCAGCCCGTTCAACACTGGCCACTTGCAGACTTTACTGTCTGTGAATGTGTGTGGGTGCCTGTCAGTGAGTGTGTTTAAGTCAATAAATGCATGTGTTTTTCTTTGTCAGTGTGTATGTCTGTCAGTGAGGGTGCCTATCACTATGTGTGTCTGTCCGTGAGTGTCAATCGGTGAGGGTGCCTATCAGTACGTGTTTCTATCAGTGAGTGTGTTTCTATTCGTATGTATGTCTTTTTGTTAGTGTATGTATTTTTCAATTAGTGTGTGTCTGTCAGTCATTAAAGGGACACCGTAGGCACTGTATCTGCTTCATCTCATTAAACTGGTTATAGTGTCTGGAGTCCTCCTGGTACCATCATTTCTTTCAGCATTAAACAGTTTTTAAACTTTTAATGTTTTAATGCTAAACAAGAGTCCCCGGCAATCCATCCCCTCTGTGCTGCTTTGGCTAATAATGAAGTATTAGCCTGAGCAGCAATAGGCAGCTGTGATTGGCTGAGAGTGTCAGCTGACTGCTTTTAGCCTGTCAGAGTTCCAACTGACAGTATGAATGGGTATGACAACAAGGAAGTGTGTAATCTCTGCCTTAGCTACACATACTGAAAGGGCCGGACTGTGGGTGGCCAGGGACTCTTATTTTGTGGCATACTGCACGAACATGGTGCAACACTGAATGGAGGGACAGTGCCAGGGCACTCCAGGCACTATAACCAATTCAAAGAGATGAAATGCTTATAGTGACTACAGTGTCCCTTTAAGTGTGTATCTGTCAGTGATTGTCTCTCAGTGTGAGTGTCTGACACAGTGACTGTCTGTCAGTGAGTACATGCCTGTCCTTTAGTGTGTCTGTCCGTGCATGTGTATCTGTCAGTGTGTTTATGTCAATGAGTGTGTGTGTCAGTGAGTGTGTGTTTATCTGTCAGTGAAAGTGTGTCTGTCAGTAAGGGTGCCTGTCACTGTGTGTGTCTGTCAGTGAGGGTGCCTGTCACTGTGTTGTCTGTCAGTCATTGAGTGTATGTGTCTATCTGTCATTGAGTGTGTGTGTCAATGAGGGTGCCTGTCACTATGTGTTTGTCAGTGAGTGTGTCAGTCATTGAATGAGTGTTTGTTGGTGTCTGTCAGTGAGTGTATGTGTCTGTCAGTGAATGTGTGTGTCTGTCATTGAGTGCGTATTGTAGTGTGTAAATAGTAGGACCAGGGAGCAGCACCTCTGATGGAATTCCCACGCTCAGAGCAATATGGAGGAGGGAAGGAAAAAGACATGGATATAGTGTAGTAAATGAAGGGAAAGGAATTGCACTTACAATTTTCTGGAGCCTATACTCAGCTCCAGATATGTGTGCCTGGACGGTACAATCCCTGCCTATTGATACGTAGATGGTCCTTGGATGTCCTCAAAAGGGGTCTCCAGTGGAGCACTATTTTGTGTTTCTATCCTCTTTTTTTTTTATTTTTTTTATATATATATATATATATATATCACCAACTATTTGAATACTGGCCTACTGCCATTGGAAAGGAGATATACCCTAATACCACTGGAGACCGCCCTTTTGAGGACATCCAAGACCATCTACATAGCAATAGGCAGGAATTATACCGTCCAGGCGGACTCATCTGGAGCTGAGTATCAGTGTGTGTGTGTGTGTGTGTGTGTGTGCCTGTCGGTGTGTGTATATCAGTGTGTTATTCTATCAGTGAGTGTGTGTGTGCTGTCGGTGTGTGTATATCAGTGTGTTATTCTATCAGTGAGTGTGTGTGTGCCTGTCGGTGTGTGTATATCAGTGTGTTATTCTATCAGTGAGTGTGTGTTTGTCTGTCGGTGTGTGTATATCAGTGTGTTATTCTATCAGTGAGTGTGTGTGTGCCTGTCGGTGTGTGTGTATCAGTGTGTAATTCTATCAGTGAGTGTGTGTGTGTCTGTCGGTGTGTGTATATCAGTGTGTTATTCTATCAGTGAGTGTGTGTGTGACTGTCGGTGTGTATATATCAGTGTGTTATTCTATCAGTGAGTGTGTGTGTGTCTGTCGGGGTGTGTGTATCAGTGTGTAATTCTATCAGTGAGTGTGTGTATATCAGTGTGTTATTCTATCAGTGAGCGTGTGTGTGTATATCAGTGTGTTATTCTATCAGTGAGTGTGTGTGTGCCTGTTGGTGTGTGTGTATCAGTGTGTTATTCTATCAGTGAGTGTGTGTGTGCCTGTCGGTGTGTTATTCTATCGGTGTGTTATTCTATCAGTAAGTGTGTGTGTGCCTGTCGGTGTGTGTATATCAGTGTGTTATTCTATCAGTGAGTGTGTGTGTGTATCAGTGTGTTATTCTATCAGTGAGTGTGTGTCTGTCGGTGTGTGTATATCAGTGTGTTATTCTATCAGTGAGTGTGTGTGTGTCTGTCGGTGTGTGTATATCAGTGTGTTATTCTATCAGTGAGTGTGTGTGTGCCTGTAGGTGTGTGTATATCAGTGTGTTATTCTATCAGTGTGTGTGTGTGTGTGCCTGTCGGTGTGTGTATATCAGTGTGTTATTCTATCAGTGAGTGTGTGTGTGCCTGTCGGTGTGTGTATATCAGTGTGTAATTCTATCAGTGAGTGTGTGTGTGTGTATATCAGTGTGTTATTCTATCAGTGAGTGTGTGTGTGTGTGTCTGTCGGTGTGTGTATATCAGTGTGTTATTCTATCAGTGAGTGTGTGTCTGTCGGTGTGTGTATATCAGTGTGTTATTCTATCAGTGAGTGTGTGTGTGTCTGTCGGTGTGTGTATATCAGTGTGTTATTCTATCAGTGAGTGTGTGTGTGCCTGTAGGTGTGTGTATATCAGTGTGTTATTCTATCAGTGTGTGTGTGTGTGTGCCTGTCGGTGTGTGTATATCAGTGTGTTATTCTATCAGTGAGTGTGTGTGTGCCTGTCGGTGTGTGTATATCAGTGTGTAATTCTATCAGTGAGTGTGTGTGTGTATATCAGTGTGTTATTCTATCAGTGAGTGTGTGTGTGTCTGTCTGTCGGTGTGTGTATATCAGTGTGTTATTCTATCAGTGAGTGTGTGTGTGTCTGTCGGTGTGTGTATATCAGTGTGTTATTCTATCAGTGAGTGTGTGTGTGCCTGTAGGTGTGTGTATATCAGTGTGTTATTCTATCAGTGTGTGTGTGTGTGTGTCTGTCGGTGTGTGTATATCAGTGTGTTATTCTATCAGTGAGTGTGTGTGTGCCTGTAGGTGTGTGTATATCAGTGTGTTATTCTATCAGTGTGTGTGTGTGTGTGCCTGTGATTGTATATCAGTGTGTTTATTCTATGGTGAGTGTGTGTGTGACTGGCGGTGTGTATATATCAGTGTGTTATTCTATCAGTGAGTGTGTGTGTGTCTGTCGGGGTGTGTGTATCAGTGTGTAATTCTATCAGTGTGTTATTCTATCAGTGAATGTGTGTGTGTCTGTCGGTGTGTGTATATCAGTGTGTTATTCTATCAGTGAGTGTGTGTGTGTGCCTGTCGGTGTGTGTATATCAGTGTGTTATTCTATCAGTGAGTGTGTGTATCAGTGTGTTATTCTATCAGTGAGTGTGTGTCTGTCTGTCGGTGTGTGTATATCAGTGTGTTATTCTATCAGTGA